TTTTCTGTCCCAGGGCCTTTGCACCTGCTGTTCCCTGTCATGCTCTTCTACATGGCCTGTTTCCAATTTTCTGTGAAGTGTCACCTTTTCCGGAGCCACCCAGACCACCCTCTCTAAAACGACAGCCCCGTCTGGCATTTCTTCTCCCTCATCCTGCTTATTTTCCCGTCTTTACTGCCTCCGCAACCTGGACAGCAGATGAGCAGGCGCCCCTGGTGTTTCTCCTCCCAGCTACCATTCCCCAGAGCCAGCTTCTAAAGCTCTTAGGTGATCATGCCCCCTCCTGCCCGAAGACCCTGAAGGGTTCCCTCACTCCTTCAATTCCAAGCATGCTCTTGCAGGCTCTGCCTCCTCAGTCTCAGCTGAACCTCGACCTCACCCGTCCACCCAACCAGCCCCAGCCCCCGCCCCCCAGAGCCCTGTGCAGGCCAGGCCTTTGTAGCAGCACAGAAAACATTCCCCTACACCCCTGTCTTCCTCCCTAGCCTGGAAGTTCCTTCAAAGTGAGAACCGTCATGTTCCTCTTTGCACACCCCAACCTGCTCCTGAAAGGGCCTCAGTAACTGCAAAAACACACACCAGTGAGAGCGGTGCTGCCCTCTCCCATCTGACAGGCGACACTCAGAGAAACAAAGACATTTGCCTAAGGTCTCCCAGCTCATGCATGGTGGGGCCACGATGCCACCCACGCCCGCACCCCATGCCCCGGCCGGTCACCAGGGGGAAAATGCACAGCTCTTAGTAGACCCGGCCTCTCGTTGAGTTTTTCCTTTTATTCCAAACTTATGCAGGCTTTTTCTGAATATCCCGGCTGCAGATATTAAATTCCAATATAGACAAATGGGAACGTCCCTCCCAACCTTCCTCAGTCCCACTCAGCAAAGCTGATCACTTGGTAACCGCTTTGTGTGAGGAGTTCCAGAAACTTGATGGCGCAGCTCTGTCTATAAATATTTACCCACACGCATTCATTTATGGTTCGGCTCACTGAACGGGGCGCGCTGTCCTCCTGCCCTCACTCGCCGTGGTATAGTTTCCATAGGTGAGGCCCAGTGATCCCGGGAGCGCTGCATTACTCCACTGCTGTGCGCGTCCTCCTGCACAGACCCCAGGTGAGTGTTCCCACCAGGCGAATCCCTGAAGCAGCATTGCTGAGTGGTGGGGTGGCTCCCATGTTTCTGGAGATAATCTGTATTTAAAACCCCTGAAACTGCCCTAGCTGGTTTGGCTCAGTGGATAGAGCGTTGGCCCTCGGACTGAAGGGTCCCAAGTTTGATTCCGGTCAAGGGCACGTACCTCTGTTGCAGGCCCTCTGTTGCCTCGGAGACAACCAATCGATGTGTCTCTCTCATTGGTCTTTCTCTGGCTCTCTGTCTCTTCCCCTCCCTTCCACTCTCTCTAAAAATCAATGGGAAAATATCCTCAGGTGAGGATTAACAAAAAACAACAAAGAAAACCTTGAAGCCCGGCCCGTGGTTGAGCATTGACCTATGAACCAGGAGGTCAAGGTTTGATTCCCGGTTATGTGCTCAATCCCTGGTGGGGGTGTGCAGGAGGGAGCTGAGCAATGATTCTCTCTCATCACTGATGTTCCTATCTCTCTCTCCCTCTCTGAAATCAATAAAAATATTTTTAAAATAAACTTTACAACCACAATAAATAAGTAAATAAATAATTAATAAATAAATAAATAAATAAAACCTTGAAGCCTGCCATCGCAGTAACCCTCCAACAATGTAGCACTAAATGGCCACCCCCTCCACCTCTCTCGGTGCCTCTGAGACCATTTCCGCCCCAGTTCCCGCCCTGTGTGGCTGTTCTGAATTTCTAGAGTCCACGCACCAGGAGCTGCCCCTTGGGGTCTGGTCTTCTGTCTCCTGTCCTGTTCTCCCGTCCTCCTCCGGTGGCTAAGCCCCATCTCCCCCACCTTGGGGCTGGTGCCAAAGGTGAGGCTGCCCCAGAGGGCACCTGAGGGCAAGGAAGTGGGAAGATTGTGCCACTAATTGTGACTGTTGGTGGGGGCAGCAGAAATCCTCCCGAGACAATAGTGCTGCCAGTGGAGCGGGTGAGACTGTGTACCAGCAGGTGCGTATCTGTGAGTGTGTGTGTGTGTATGTGCAGGAGTGTGAGTGAGCATGTGCCAGTGTATGTGGTGTGTGTGTGTGTGTGTGTCTTAGGGGCAGTTATGTCAGGCGTTATGTAATGGAGACACTCCCTGGGGCCAGCAAACCGCAGTGGTGTAACCGCCAGCCGGCTGAGCCACCAGAAGGAAAGGAGGGAAAATGTAAACACGTTCTGGGCCTTTCCCTGGCCCACCACAAGCAGACCCTGGACAGGGCAGCTCTTCCGGTTCCCCATTCCCACCACCTTAAGCCCTGTGGGCCGGCCTGGGAGGAGTGATCATGGAGGTTGAGGAGGCAGGGGCCAAGGGACAGCACCAAGAGGGGAGCCAGCAAGGTCTCCCTGGGTTCTGGGTCCGCAGTGGGCTGTGCACCCCCCGCATGAGGCATGCTGCCTTTCTCACCCAGAGCTGTCCTCTCTGAAGTGCCTTCGAGGGGCTCCCTTTGTCCCAGAGCCTCCGCCTGGCATAGGAACCCCTCACCCTGCCGTGAACCTTGTGGCTGGCTGCTCACCTGCTCCCATCCTTGGGTGGCCTCAGGGTGCAAAGGTGCACCTCCGCCCTGCCCCCCACGCCTCATCTGCAGGCCAGCGCATGCCTTCCCAGCCAGCTCCCAGCTGCTTAACGCCGCAGCACCTCTTCCAGGAAGCCTCCCCTGCCTGCTCCTTCTTTCTGCACTGAGCTCCTAAGGCGCCTCTGGACATGCAGCCTGACATCTGGCCACGTACAATGGTCCCTTGTTCTCCAGTTGTTCACTTTAGTAATAACGGCCACAACCATGCAGTCCATTCTCTGCCAAACCCAGTCCCTTCAGGTGCCCTCATTATCACATGTCATCCTCCTGCCAACCCTAGAACAGTGGTTCTCAACCTTCTGGCCCTTTAAATACAGTTCCTCATGTTGTGACCCAACCATAAAATTATTTTCGTTGCTAATTCATAACTGTATTGTTGCTACTGTTATGACTCGTAATGTAAATATCTGATATGCAGGATGGTCTTAGGCGACCCCTGTGAAAGGGTCGTTCAACCGCCAAAGGGGTCGCCACCCACAGGTTCAGAACCGCTGCCCTAGAAGGTGGCATTCTTACCGCCATTACATAGCCAAGAACCCAAGAGGAGAGAGATTCAGTGAATTATCCAGCTACACCTGGAAGACTCTGATGGCAGAGCTTGTTTTCATAACCTCCCATAGCTAAGCTCTGTCTACCCATATCTCTAAGCTCTTGGAGGACAGGAGTCTCTTCCATGTCCCAGCTACACTCCTACTAGATGCTCAAATAAAGGTCGTGGCTTCCCCAGTGGCTGGCATATAGTTGGTGCCCTTTCACTACAAGTTGCTGGTGAACTGGAATGGAATCTTTTATTCAGAACAATAGAGTGATATGTTAAGAGCAGGGTTTTTGGAGTCACACAGCTGTATGATTGTAGGCAACTTGTGAAACCCTCTGAGCCTCAGTTTCCTCATCTGCAAAATGGGAATGGCCATGGTGTCTTCCTCACCAGGCTATTGAGAGGATTATATTCAACGCTGTGTATGATAGGAACGGCCTACTGCCTGGCATGCATTGGGTGGTCAATAAAAGTCGGCTGCTGCTGCCACCTTCCCCCCAGCCCTTCAGTGGTATTTCTGGACGAGCAGGGTCTGGATTGCAACTGCAAGTGACTGATTCTTAACCCAGACTCTTCCTAAGACAGGCCAGTGTTTTCATCCAGGACACTGTGGGTAGAGGTGGTGGGATCAACTGAAGAAAGGTATCGTTCTAGACTTTTTAAAAGTTTTTCTGATCAGGACAAGGGTAGTGTCTTCTAAGAAAGGGCACCCACATCTTCCCATCCCAGTGAGGGGAGGGGTTAATCAGGGAGGGCTTCCAGGAAGAGACAGGTATCAGTGCAACCCTGACCCTTAAAGGAGGAGACACACT